AAGTACCACTGTTCTTAGGATTTTAGAGAGATGCTTATCAGATTGTTGAGTTGAGTGGCTGTGGTGTCAATCCGGTATTGCTGTGTCTGATCACAGATTTCAAAATGGAAGACCTACTTGAATGATAATGATTCCAAGAATCTGCAGGCTTTCCTGTTTGGACCTAGAATTTGTGAACAACAGTTCTCCAGGAGCAGAGGTGTATCTCTCCAGCTCACCCAGCCAGGGAGACTTCCTCCCTACCCAAGCTCTTCTGACCTCCAATCAGGCCTGCCTGAAGCACACTCCTGAAATCTTCCAAAAAGGCAGCGACACGAGGGCCTGCCTAAGAACTTCAGCATGAGCAATTGGCCACAAAACAAGGGCTGACCAGCAGATGCACAACATCAGCCACAACCAGCAAGACCACTACACTGGAATTCAAACAGCACATCAAAAAGGACCTTTCCCCCTTTTCATGAACAGGTTACACAACTGGGCGTAATGGTTAAACTGAGCTAAGCAAAGGACTGTTGAATTCTATTCATGTGATTTTAATAAGTTTGATTTGTGTGATATTTTGTAATACATTATTTGAAAGCTAATGTTAGTTCTATTATTCTGTTCACAGACTTTCTTTGCATGCAACTAACTACTTTCTCTAACCTGGCACAAACAACTTATTCACACCTCCCTAAATTCAACACATACATGTGATCTCATCCACATGACCCCAAAACTCCTGGGGGCCTTTTGTCTTTATAGTGGCCAGCCGCCATTTTGCAGACACACTTTCTCACCCACACCCACACACACACACACACCCACACACAGTAAACTGTAATGTCAATTAAAGTTATTATTTAATATGATTATTTTGAATATTGATATTCAATATATTCCCGATAGCCAAATGTATTGAATGCCCAAAGGCACACCATTTAATGGTGCAACCCTTAAGGTATAATAATCACAACATTCCTATGAAAATGTGTTAATATACTGGGCTCTCATTAGTTCCTGATATCTCAGTAGCTTGCAGCTAAGCTAGGCAGCTAGCTTGATAACAAATTGTCGTCAACCTAGTCATTTTCATTCTTATCACTGAAACTGCTTTCTAATTTTGACAACCGTTACATTGTCACTGGTAGATACTTTTTTTGCCACTGTCTTGGTAGCTTTTAGAGCTACTAAGCTAAGGTGGAGCAACCAAATGATGACCACCCCAATGTATTAATTCCTCGTCTGAGTGATTATGGGGGCCAATTCCAATAGTGATATTAAGGAGCAAAAAAAAGCACTTGGGGGCTCCTTTGTCCCATCAGCCATTAGACAGCACAATGCCAACGCACCTACAGTCAAACAATGACATCTATATTTCAGAAAAGAACTGCTACACATTTTGTCTCTTTATATTACAATGAATGGACAAATTGCACAAGAGCACAACTTTGATCCCTATCTCTATATTGCACATTATTGAAAAAACAGCCATATGGATATATGATATTATTTCTGCATCTTTTATGTGTATAGTGTTTCTATTTTCATTCATATTTTTCCCAGTGCGCTGCAAATTTCTTGAGCTGCTGTGTCATTTGTGAATTTCCGCTATGAAGGATAAATAAACTGACAAAGTAATGTAATTCAGACTACCATTTTACACTTTAAGCATACATTTTTGAACAAATATGTAGACATTGAAAGTAATACAGAAAAGGAACAAATAGTTGATTTAATATGAATTATTTTTTTCACTGGAGATCCATGCATTATTCCCTGGGAAATCTGTAAAATGTCCCAGAACAACTTGGACATCGCAATGTTAAAGGCAGTAATTAAAAGTGCAATGACTTCTTTCTTGGCCCATGGCCCACTTTTACACCAAGTTTTGTTTGATGTTAGTTTTTGCATAATCCTGCAGACAAACAAACAGAAAAGGGCAAAACATAATCTCCTTGGCAGAGGTGAAAATGGGAACAATGGACGTAATAATGGTAACATCAGAACAGTGTTTCAAGCTATGCCAAAGCTAGAGTTTTAAAATTATTCATGGATTTCCGAGCTTCATCTCTTTGTCTTGATGGAAATCTTTAACATCCAGTCGAGTACCTTCCCCAGGTATACATATTACTGGTGAAAATGCAACTTTAAGGATATTAGGTATTGCAATTGGGTTAACCTGTTATACTACTTAATATTTGCTCCTCAACATTGTCCTTTTACATTCCTCACTCATAACTGAAAGCATATTTGAAATCACAGAATGTTCAACTTTACCTGGCAGATAATTGAAGCTGTTCTATTAAGGATGGATAGATGGATGGATAGATAGATATAGATAGATGGATAGGTAGGTATATAGATAGATAAGAAGATAGATGGATAGAAAGATTTTGACAATACAGATATAAGATGATAAAAAATGTACAGTAACCATATATATTCTGAACCGTTTAATGAAACAAATTAATGAACCTTAAAAAACAAGCCACAGGAGAAACCCTTAGCCATCACTGTAGAACTAGATATATCAGGCTGCTATATGAGCAGTAGACAAGGTTTTGGATATCCAATTCCTTTATGCTTGACTTGAAGTGAAGTAGAGCCTTTGGGGTTAGGAAAGTAAATATGCTAAATATACTTTGTGATTGGAACTAAATCAAGATCTGAGCAGTGAAGAGTCTGATCCACTGATCAAATCAGAAAATTGAATTTCAATATTAGCCATTCGCCGATCCCCTGCTTTCAATCTGCCCTGATGAATCTGCTTTTGTTTCTGCACCTCTTCTTTCCACTCTTCTTTCTTACAGTTAATTTTATTTTCCTCTCTTCCTATCTCATCTTTCCAGATCTTTTCTCACCATTCTGATCTTCATCTTGGGGCCCTGTGTGCGCCAGCAGATCTGGTTTGTTGATGAGGCGAGAGGTGTGAAGGTGCTTGAGACCCAGGAAAAGGAGCAGGATGGAGGGGATGATCTGGGCAGCAACACCATCAAGCACTGCTGGTCGACTGGGCAGCTCCATCAGCACACTCAGGCCAATGATACATATCTTCCGGTCATGAAGCCTGAGGAGTGTATGAGGGAAAGGAAGGCAGAGAGAGAATTGGTATGAGGGTATCTGACAGTATCCCCAAAATTCTCAGAGATTTTTAAAGGATCCCCAAACATTGACAATCTAGTTTCGAGGTACCTGGAGGTGCTAAGAAGCCAAATGAAAACTTCCTAACAGGATTTCACATGGAATCACCCAAAATAATGAAACAAAGCTGACAAAGGATTACCATTTCCAAACACCACTGATGATTCATGGACCGCTTAAGATGAAATAATAGCAAAAATAATAGATCAAGGATTTCATGTGTGATACTTTGTGGTACTAAATAAATGAATATCTTTGTACTGTAGATCAAACAAGCCTTTCTGTCATAAGAGGAGAACTTCAGACTTTTATTAAGTGATTAAGACTATTTTAAATGGTAAATAACCCTTTAAATGGTCAATGAGCTTTCAGTAAAGGGAAGACCTTGACGTTTGATGAGGTAGCAAAGAATAATAAACAGCCAATAAACTGAACAAAGAAGAAGTAGAAGACCACTCTAAGCTTTTTATTTAGTTTTTTTTTTTTTTTTAGTTTTTGCCATTCACACCCACATTAATACAGTGCATCTTTGTGCAGCACTTTCTCTATGAGAAAGTGCAATTTGGGTTCAGTGTCCAAAGACACGGCATACAGAAGACTTGGTTCAAACCGCAAACCTTCTGGTTAGAGGACGACCCGCCCAGACCCTCTTCTTCTATCTCATAATTCCACAAATCTCTGTCTGTCAGTTTGTATGTGCAACACATATCTTAAGAACCATTCATCTTATCAGCTTCACACCTGTATTGTTATGGGCCCAAAGATGTGCAGTGTCCAATTTGGTGTAATTTGGACACATGATACATTCAATATCAAAAAAATATGAATAAACAGGCAAGCTCAGTTAGTTTTTTATCATATCAGACCGACATTTGTTGCCTGTTTTCATTGACTAATTGTGCCAAGTTTTCCTTTTAATTTCCCCTTTGCTTCTTTCCCAGATCTCTAAAAACGGACTATTAACTGACTGAATATGACGGTAAGTAAGAATAAGTGCAAAAGTACATCCAAGATGTATGACTAATCCAGCATTGTTAGCAGAGTTGTCAACTATTGCTGTTTTCAGACATGACCTCCGGAGGGAGGGCTTGACCTTTCTGCAAAGGTTGCCTTTCACACATGCATGCAGCAGGAGTTTCTTCTATATCAGGTGAGGGGTGGTGTAACATGCAGAGGCAGGATGACATTTATTCATTCCGCTGCAGAGATCACATGTTGATCGACACTGGGTTAGGCTCTTATCTTTAAAAGTTCTCTCGACATATTCGTCTGTGTCATATACGTCTATGGTGCTGCTTTTTCATCCATAAGTTTTTGTTTTTTATTTTGTCTTTTTCATTTTTGTGTCACAACATAATAGAGGAACAGAATGGAACATAACAAAACAGAACAGAAAAAAAAGTTGACCTATAAAAGAGTAAGTGTCAGTATGATGCTAGATATTTGCAGGAGGTGTGAATGGGCAACAAATTTATTTGACAAATTGATTAATAGAAAAAAGTGGGAAGATTTGATTTGATCATATGTCTTAATCTCTTGTCTAAGATTTTTCAGCTATGTAATTGGTCTACGGTTCAGTTACTAATGAAAATAACCACTACTTTCGGCCCTAATAAAATTGTTCACCAATGAGTGAGACAGAATCAAATGTCTGATTTAGGGATTGAGACCAAAAGTTGTCACAATGTCATTTTTTGATTTTGAGCTTGTAAAATCCCTCAACTGCCTCCTAAGTGTTGAGGGGGACATACTATGATATTTGACCCTCACTTGTTTATAAGCACCAGCATGCCCTTTTTTTCCTCATGTCTCGCTACCTCCATAATCGAAGTACCTCAGAGTTTTTGGTTCCACATGTGTTAAAAACAGAAGGAGCCTCATCCTTACCCCAGAAAGAACTCTGTGTCATTCATCCACTGGTTGATGAAGTGTGCAGTAATGGGTTGCGGGTTGTGTGGGAAGTGCATGTTGTCTAGAGTGTGTATGAGCAGCACTGGATTGTAGTACAGAGCAGCGATGGCCACCTGAAGGCACATTGTTCTCAGCTCACTGGACTTCACCCCTCTCATCAAACGCTCCAGCACTGCCTCCACAAACAAAGGGATGCACTGCAGTGGGGAAACACAAATAAATCAAGCCCCTACAATTCACTTTTGTTGGGTAAAACCATAAGGGAAACATAAACCCTCCAGTTTTGTATTTGGTTTGAGTACAGACACTGTTCACACTGTTGAGTTACAAACAGCATCTAAGCAACAATCCCGTCCAACAGACCTCCTAGCAATGTAATGTGTGTCACAGCCAGGTTAAAGATTTCACATTTTGATTCCAGTCACTGTAGTTATAGTCCAGTATGAAGACTTCGCAAGATAATCTTTTATTTTTATATCAGTTGAGACCACAGGTAAAAATTAAAGCTTACGTGAAAGAGTGAAGCTTTACCCACATTATTTTC